CGCCTGGAGCTGCATGTGCGACTGCAGCTGCATGCTCACCAGCTGCAGGGTGGCTCGCCATTGGCTGCGCTGGCGCACTGGGTGCCATCGCACCTGCACTGCCGCAGTGGCTCTCGAGTGCCATCGAGTCCAGCCCCGCCGAGGCAGATCCAGGAAGCTGACGGCGCTGGCCTCCGTGCTTGAGCCCAGCCCCCGCGAAGTAAATGTTCGCCGCTTGTTGCTGGGCTGCCGATGCAAAGCCAGTGCCAATCATGCCAAGCTGCATGGCCTGTTGGGCACTGAGCCCCATGGACTGCGCAGCCCCAAGGAAGGGGACCAGGTTCGAGGTCAAGTCTGGAATGGCTGCGAGCTGCTGCTGCTGCTGAGGACGCACAGCAGGAGCAGGACCACGGCGAGGCTGAAGCTGACCGCGAACTTCCTTGTTGTTCGACCTGCACGATACGCGCTTCCTCAGCCTCGACCAGTTCTCTAGTTGCACCAGAGATGGTGGCTCCGCATCGTACATTGCCGCGAAAGTCGGCTCTGGTAGGTCGGTCGGGTTAGCAGGCCATTGACGCGTGACTGGGAGGTGCTCGACATTCGACTTGGCCGATGCAAAGGCGCCCGCCAAAGCGAAGACGTGGTCGTATAAGTCCGTGGATGTGATGGCCTCCGTGTCGACGCCCGCGCAGGAGACCAACAGTGCCACCATGTCGGCGCACGCTGGAGGGGAAGGCTTTATAAAGCCACCCAGCGTGAGCCTTCCAACCAGGATGCCTGCTCGGACATCGGAGTTCCAAGCGTGCGACCCGTCGTTGAGCACGGCCCAGTCGGACTGAGTGAAGTACCGCATGACAGCGTGCCCTTGGTCCCACTGCTGTTTCTCCAAGGCCCCTAGCCGTTGTGGCTGGGCCCCCCCTTGCAAGAGCTTCCTCCGAACCGAAGCACACATGCTCTGCTTCTGGTCTGGCGCGAACGCCGCGTGGCCGATTGCATCCGTGAGGTCGGAAGCAGAAGCGCTCAAGACCTGCTGGCTGATGCCGTCGATCATCAAGGTTAAGCTGCGGCAGAGGGACACCAGAAGCTGCGAGATCTCCTCGCCGCTTGGCCCCAGAGACGTCTGGGATCTGATGACACGCGAACTCCCAATGATTTCGGTCAGGCACTTCTGGATACTCGTCATAATCTCAAGCGTCGCGCAAGGCGAAATACACCTCACAATGCACAAAAAAAAAACATCCTGAAACGGCTGCGGAACGTCAGCTGCGAAGTGTGTGACCCCTAGGAAATCTGAAGCTCAGAGTGTCTGACAGGCACAAGGTAGCGAAACGTTGATCGACATCGATTTTGCATATGCAAATTCGTGGTCGTTCAGGGTCGCCCCCAATTTAACGTGCGTTAAATTGCGGCCGGAGCTCCGGCCTCAATTTTGCATTTGCAAAATTGGGGGCGACCCTGGACGACCACGAATTTGCATATTCAAAATCGTGGTCGATCGCCTCTGCGTGACCTTCCTCGCGTGTGCACTAGAATTCTAAGTTATCATCATCATTTTCCTCCTCCTCCACTCTCTGTTCTACCTGCGTTTTCGTTAAAGCTGGTTTCAAAAACCTCCTGGTTTGTCGGTGTTTTCTTTTGATTCCTCATCCTCAGCCTCCTCTTCCTGGGAGCGTTGGGGGTCACCTCCTCCTCCTTCGGAACGCTTGCACGCGCGTGGGAGGGGCCGCCCCTCTCTCCCTCTGCCTCTGATGCCGATGGGCGCGAAGCGGAGAAGGGGAGGCGGAAGAGGAGGAGTAGGAGGCAAGATGCGACCCAAATCGTCGACACCAGGCGGCCGCTGGCGGGCCCCAGGAGGAGGGGGGGGGGGGAGGAGGGGGAGGAAGATGAGGAGGTGGAGGAAGAAGGGAGGGGGAGGGAGGGGGGGTAGGAGGAGGAGGAGGAGGAGGAAGGGGCCCCTTTCTCATCCTCATCTTAGTCGCCCTCAGCAGTTGGTTGCACACAAGCTCTCGGCCCCGAGGGTCGCCACGACTACGTTTATCGAAGACAGATGCGCTGCCGAAGGACAAGAGAAGCAACACAGACTCCCCCTTGCATCCCAATGTCCTTTGAATTCTCCTTGCCTCCCCCTGTCGAGTCCCTGGATATCGCTGCAGCGCTAGATCGAGAGGTGGCCTCAAACGTGGAGGCGAAGAGAAAAAGAGGCATAGCTGCTACCGTACACCTACCACAATGTACTATCCTGCTCACAGGCGTCGCAGCCAGCCTCCAAGGCTGCCAGCCCTATTCGCTACGTCCTGGCCCTCTTGGGGCCGCTGCCCTTGGCCCTCCCAGTCGGTGAGGGGAGGGTGAGCTGGCCGCCTGCCTTGATGTTGCAGCAGTTCGACATCACGGGGATCTTGATGCTGTAGGTGTTCTCCATGTCCCCATCAGAGCACGAGATGGTCTGGCACGGGGGGGGGCATCGCCAACTCCATGTTCCCGCGAGCTCCCTCTGCGGCGGGGGGTACAGCCCAGAACGGAGGGGCGAAGTTAGACCCCTGCTCTGTCTTGGTCGTCACCAGCTGCTGGTGGAGGGCGAATGACACATTGGGGATGCCCAGAACGCCCATATCAATTGCCAGCGGGCTGAGGTCCTCATCGGGGGCCCTGTGTTTAATGGACTGTGTAGCTGGGATAAGAATCGAGTCCCCTTTCGTGGTGTCCACCTTGGCTACCACTGCTGATGGATTGCTGTACACAGAGATCTTAAGGAATAAGGAGGGCGCATCAGTCTTGTGGCTCAAGAACCCCAACGCCAGAGCGATGCGGTGCTTCACCATGTCCACCAGGTAAGAGGTGTTATTCTCGGGAGCCATACTGATGATGTCCACCAGTGTTTGTTTTTTTTGGCAGTGGTGAGCGCCCACCCCTCCTTGAGCTCCTTCAGGCTGAACTGCTTTGTGTTGCCGCTGACGTGCAACCCCGTCGGTGCCAGCTTCGCGTAGTCATCGCAGATCTCGGTGATCTCGAAGACAGTGCCTTCCGCTGCGCTGGCGTCGTCCTGCTTCCTCTTTTTCACGGTCTTCCCCTTCGCGAAGCCCAACTGAGCCATCTGAAAGCTCCCAGACTTAAGCTCTGCCCACGATTGGAAGCCTGGGAGACAACCTTGACCTTGTCCTTCGGCGCCTCGGGGGCCTTCATGGGACTTGGCTTCTCGTCGGCGCGCGTGATCACCTCGCCCCCGAGACCCATTCATTCAAATTGACAAATGAAGACATCTAGATATACGCTGAAGTAGAGGGCACTATCCGGAATCAGCAGACAAGGCATGGAGTACGCAAGCACTCAATCACGCATGGCTCAACTCCCCCCTCCTCCTCCCCCTGGAGGAGGGAGGGAAGAAGGATGGTGGATGGAGGAGGGAGGGGCGAGGAAGGAGGGAGGAATGATGAGGGGGCAGAGGGGCGAGGAGGATGATGATGAATATGTTTACTTAGATGACGGCGTTAGCACGTGTGTGTTGATTATGGTGATGTTGATGAATGATGTTGATGTTGTGATGATGATTAGTGAATGGTGTGTCGTGTTGTTGTTGTTGATGGTGATGTAGTGTTGATGAATGGTGTTGGCGTTGTTGATGTTGTTGATGATGATGTTGTTTGTGATGATGACTAATATCTTCACTCTCGCGATCGGCAACCCCGAGCCTAGTGCCAAGAGCTTCTCGCGTGCACCCGCTAGAGATCGGAGGGGGCAGCGCCAATCACACTTCGCGCTCACAGCGCAAGTCGAAGAACATCTGCGGAGAGTCCGCAGACACTAGCGGCACTAGCAGGCGCTAGCACTAAGCACAGGATATTCGGAACCCCCACTCACGACGCCCTGCGCTTCTTCCTCCTGGAATCTACGAACTGAGCAAAACCACCAGAGGGGCCCGACGAACCACCGTTGCTGCCCTCCTCCTTATCGCGACCGTCGCTGCCCTCCTCCTTATCGCGTCCGTCGCTGCCCTCCCCTAAGCGCCATCATCTTTGTCGCAGGCCTTCGTGCAGGCACGTTTGGGCGCCTGAATCACCTGACACTTGCAGAAGATCCAGTTCATGACCTCTGCGCGCATCTCCACCATCGCCTTGGGCGGGGCGATATTCATTGGCGCCTTGCACCTCACAGCGGCCGCGGTGACGCCGTCGAAGTCGAAGCCCTCCAACGCGATGTCAACCACGCTTGCTTGAGCACCTTCAGCAAGTGTCCTCGAGGCCTTCTGCTCCAGCTTCCGACGGTAGGCCGTCTCGTCGCCCCCCTGGTTTCCACCGCCCTCCCCCAGCGCGTCCTTGCTTGCGTCGGCCTGGAGCTTCATGATGAAGTTGATGGCCGTGCTCACTTGCGTGTTGTACCTACGAGGCCCAGTCAGCCACGCCGAGAGGGCGGGGTCGCCTTTGGTCATTGAAACGAATTCGATTGCCCCGACCGTGTTGACCTCTGCACCTGGCCACTCTGCCCTTCCCTCAGCAGGGGGGCTCACGGTGACGGTCTTCGTGAACGTGATCGGGGTCAGCTCCATGACACTGAGAGTTGAGTCTGGAACAGTGAAGAAATAATTCAAATGAATATGCTAAGCAAACCTCGAGCCAAACTGACTACGGAACGGATGCGAGTGGGCATGCGATGCCCCAGGCCTACAGACAACCATCCAGACAACATATCACGCTGTGCTCTCGACCATCACCAGTTATTTTGCCGCCATCCTCACCCCAAACGCCCCCAATGCTCCACCCCCCCAAACGCCCCCAAGGTTCCGGGCATTTACAATGTTTTTAATAAAACAAGATGTTGGCAGGAACCAGTGTGACGATGCGCCTGGCTATGTCTGCTTTGTCAGGCAGCCTACCTAAAGCGACAACTGTGAAGACCTATCTTGAATATCTGGCTCCGAAGACTCCGAAAGACTCAGAAAGACTCCGAAGAATTATCAGAAGAACGATCTTGAAGTTGATCAGAAGCTCCCCACCCCCCTGGCAAGCAACGTGCACCCCCCTTCCCACCACTGGCTGCTTGGTAGTGGATCTCCGCGACGGTACCCAAGCAAGGGTTCGAGACGGAGCGCTTGACGACCCCCGCAACGTAGTCCACGAAAACCTGGCCTGCCGACTGGAGGTTTTCGTACTGGACTGCCTCCCTCGATTGCCTGCCTTTCTTAAGAATTGCGTAGATGAGGCGGACGTCGTGATGGCATAGGGCCTCCATGTGATCATACGCCGACAGGCCTTCCGCAGTCAACAACTCCCGAGCACCGTCCATCATAGCCCCCGCCTGTTGCGAAGACTCCTTGTGTTTTGCTACGTCCGAGTCCTTCAAGAGCTCACAGCGGCCATCTCGGAGCCGCTCAACAGGGGACAACATGTTTGCCAACAGGGCAGCTGTGCGAAGCCTGGTCATTTGAACGACTTCGCCAGGCCACTTCAAAGAAGCACACCTCGCCAAGTGCTGACCGCCAACGTGCCCGTGCGAGACCATAGCGAGTTTGGAGACCTGTGGACGCTGCTCAAAGAAAATCCTCCTCCCCCCCCTCCTCCTCCCTTCCTCCGCTCCCTCCCTCCTCCTATTCCTCCTCAGTTCCCCCTCCTCCTCCTCTGTTTTTTTCTCTGGCGAGGAGAGGTTTCCGAAGACCCGTGCACCTTGACAGCTGCAGCTTTGAGGTCCCTTGCCTCTAGTAGAAGGTCCATGTTCGTGGCTCGGCACATCTTCGCCGGGGATGCGCCCCAAGAGGCCCAGAAAGGCTGTTGAGACGTCGCCTCGTCGACGGCTATCTGCCACGCCTTCTCTGAGTCCCAGCCGTTCTGGCATGCTGTGGCGTAGGCCCCATGGATCGTGAGTAAGCCCTCGAGCTCCGACGTTTCGCACACACCACGTGTGTTAAGAGCTTTGCATCCGATGCTGACCACTTGGGGCCACTCCACCGCAACTTCCTCTGCCAAGAAATTGAACTCGATGCCATTCTCGAGCCCGTGCTTGAAAGAAGGGAACTTGTCACACATATACTTCGGATCCAGTTGCCCAGTCGGTGCCGCTTTGACGTTGCTGCAGCTCTTCTTAGCGAACACTGCCCTCAAGAACCCGTTCGAGTGAGATGCACCGAACGTGGCGCCGTGCAGCATGTCGAAATCTGGCATCCCGTGTGACTTGTTTTGCCTGGCGTTGAAGGTGAGGCAACCCTGTGTGTAGGCAGAGCCAGGCTTGCAGGCGATAGCCCATGCCCCCTCGCAGGCCTTGGAATAGCTCCATCCAGAATTTATGTGTTTGACTCCATTTACGATCGCTGCGGCCATGTCGATTCCGAGACCCCCACGATTGTTTGGTTCGATTGCCATGAAATTGCAGTGGACCTTCCGCTTCCAGAACAACTCGGGGTACTTTACGAGCTCAGACGTGATAGAATCCCAAACGGTGACCACCTCCCCGTCTGAAGTAAATTTTCCAATCGCCTTCAGGAGACCACCCAAAAACCCCAAAAAACTGAACGGACCGCGTACAGCCGTGGCGACGAATAGACAGTGAGAGCAAGACTGAAACAATAATTTCACCTGGGGGGGTAGCATGGAGTTTACAAAACTGATGCCTCTAATATTGCTGGGCGAGCTGCGCTGATGGCCCGCTCGACGGAACTGGCCATGGCGCTGGACACGACTTCAGAAGCAAGAACAGGCAAGCAACGGGCGCGACTTGAGCAACGCGCCTTTGCGAAAATCGAACAACCCCCTTGCGAGTCCGCCGACCCTGTCGGGCCCCCATGCGTGTAAACGAAATTCGAAGGGCTTGGCAAACCATTTGGCAGGGTTTAGTAAACCACTTAGCAAACCACGCTAAACCACTTAGCCAAATCCCGCTAAACGATTTAGCTAACCTCCGATAACCCTTTTACGTAAACCTACACAAACACACGTAGAGCGTTAGTTGCCCTTATCATAAATCAAGCTAAGTGATTGGCAAACCACACACAACCCTTCTAAGCACTACTCAAAGCTTGCACCCAGTAACAAACACTTACACAAACCACCGTAAACATCACAAGCCTTAACAACTAGAGTTATCAATACATACTCAGACTTGCTAGGACGTTACTAAGAGTTGCTAGGATGTTGCTTGGAGTTGCCAAGGACATACCAAACCATTGCATCCTACCTAAGCGTTTGCAAGCGGCCCGACTCTCCAAGTGGTCCCGCGGAAGGGCGTCGCCACGGGCGTCGGGGAGGTGAGTCGCAGAGCCGAGCGAGGCCGGGTTGGAAATCGAAAGCGCCGTCGGGGGATGAGCCCGAGGCGGCGTCGCACTGGGGCCGCGGACACGGGGCGAGAATGGCATCGGGGGCGTCGTCGGTACCGCGTCGCGGCCTTCGTCGGGAGCGGCGGCGGCGGAGGCTGCGCCGGGGGCGGCGTGGCGGGCCGGGCCAACGCCACCCCATGCAGCTGCATAGGGACGCCCCCCCGGGAGCGTCCACAGACAGCGCCCGCGCAGTCGCCGTGGGAGGAGCCTGCGCCTGTTGGGATTGAGCCTGTGTTCGCCCTCCGGTTTTACAGATGCCTGGACGATGTCACGCGCACGGCCTCCCAATGCAAGCTCGTGATCGTGCACCGTCGCGGTCGCGAGTATCTGGGGGGAGGTTCGGAAGCAGACTCGGGGCGGGGGCGTCGGCCCGGTGGTGGCCCGTCATGACCACCTACCAGACCACCCCAACCCAACCCGAAGACCCGAATTTCGGGCTGGGGGGGGTATGGGCACCATACGTGTTTTTTCGATGCTCCCGGACCTGGGGCGGGGCCCAGGGCGGGGGCGTCGGGGCGTCGGAAGCAGCCTCGGGGCGGGGGCGTCGGCCCGGTGGTGGCCCGCCATCGTGGGAGGAGCCCGAAATGGCGTCGAGATGGTGGCGTCGGCCCATGGCGGGGGGGGGGCGGCGCCGGAGGGCGACGCCGGAAACGAGGCCCGAGGTGTCGACTGAACGGGGGGGCCCCCGTTATATTCCAATCGTCGCGTCGGGGGCGTCGCAGCAAGCGGCGCATGAGGTGTCGTCAGAACGGGGGAGCCAGCCCAGGGAGGGAACGGCGACGGAACAGTCGTAGGTCGTGGCGCCGTCGTCGGAGCGTCGAAACCGCGATTCTTGCGTAAATTGTGAGGATGTCCCGCGCGAGAGCGCGATGTTGAAATAAATCGTGAGGAACTATAAGACGCAGGCCGTTGAACTCTCATTTAAGAATGATTATTGCTGATCCCCCCCAGCCTGGCGCAGTGAACTTTTTCAATTGAAGCGCCCGTCCCGGCGCTTGCACCCTGTTTATCAAGAAAAGCATTCATCCTCAAACTACATGTTGTCCCCCGGTTTACAACAACAACAACAGCAACAACAACAACAACAACAACAACAACGGCTTCCGCCTGAGACACCCTCACAATTTAGCCAGGACCCCCGCTCCCGCCCGAGACTTCCTCGCATTTGATTCAGGAATCGCGCTCTCGCTTGGGACGTCAATACAATTTGTTAAAGAATACTTCTCTCGGCGCTCTGTGTCGCGCTCTCGCTGGGGACTCGCTTCCTATCTTTTCAAAAATAACGCCCTCGCGTTGGATCTTCCAGCGATTCACTCAAGCGCCGCGCTCCCGAAACGCAGGCACCCAGGAATCGCGCTCACGCTTAGGACTCCTCGCGGCCCCGTTGCAACCCTTCGTGGTCCCCTCGCTGCCCTTCGTGGCCCCCTTGCACCCCTTCGTAGCCCCCTCGCTGCCGTTCGTGGCCCCGTTGCACCCCTTCGTGGCCCCCTCGCGACCCTTCGTGGCCCCGTTGCAGCCCTTCGTGGCCCCCTCGCTGCCCTTCGTGGCCCCATATATGCATGCCCTTCGTGGCCCCCTCGCTGCCCTTCGTGGCCCCGTTGCAGCCCCTCGCGGCCCCCTCGCTGCCCTTCGCGGCCCCGTTGCAGCCCTTCGTGGCCCCCTCGCTGCCCTTCGTGGCCCCGTTGCAGCCCTTCGCGGCCCCCTCTCTGCCCTTCTTGGCCCCATATATGCATGCCATTCGTGGCCCCCGCTCGTTCACGCCCGTCGTGGCCCCATAGTCGTGCCCTTCGCGGCCCCGCCGTCGCCCTTCGCGGCCCCCTCGCTGCCCTTCGTGGCCCCGTTGCTGCCCTCAGTGGCCCCGCCCTTGCCCTCCGCGGCCCTATATACGCATGCCCTTTGTGGCCCCCGTTCCTTCGCGCCCGTCGTGGCCCCACGCGCACGCCCTTCGTGGCCCCACTGTCGCCAAGCGCGGGCCCCTTGCTTTCCTACGTGACCCGGTTGCTACGCTCAGTGGCCCCATCGTTATCTGCCCTTCGCGGCCCCCGCTCGTTCGCGCTCTTCGTGGCCCCATACGCATTCCCTTCGTGTCCCCGCTGTCGCCCTTCGTGGCCTACTTCGTGCCCTTCGTGGCCCTACGGTCGTTCTCTCTCTCTCTCTCTCGTTCTCGCTTTCGCTCGTCGTCGTCGTAGTCGTCGTCGCCGTCGCCGTCGTCGTCATCGACGTCGTCGTCGTCGTCGTCGCGGTCAGTCCCCTGTCCGTCCCTCTTGGGGTCGGGCTGCCGCCGATCAGCGCTGCCGCTGGCCAGGCCGACGGTCCGCGGCCGCCCCGCCGCTTGCCGGGGCCCGGCCTGCAGGGAAGAAAGGTACACCCCGCAAAATGGGCACGATCAAAATCGAAGAGGGCGGGTATCGAGGGTTTGGGAAGTACGTGTTAACAGACATTCGAGCAGATGAGAGCGAACAATCAGAAAATGGTTGGTGTCGCTGTTGATGCACCTGTTGTTGTAACCCGTGGGCAATGGGGGGCAGTTTGAGCACCAAGACTTTCCCCGATTAAGAACAGGGTGCGAGCCCCGGGAGAACCATCGAATGGGAAAAACACAATGTGCACAGGGCAGGGGGATCGTGAATACTTACTGTTTAGAAATGAACAACAGCAGCAGCAGCAGCAGCAGCAACAACGCCAACAACAACGTCAACAACAACAGCAGCAACAGCAACAATAACAACAGCAGCAACAACGAGCAACAGCAACAGCAGCAACAACAACAACAGCAACAGCAACAACAACAATCATGTTCGGACTGGTCGCTCTGATCTGCAC